GGGTCGAGCCAGTAGTGATTTTGGTGGTGGTAGGGGGTGAGGGGGTGGGGGTGAGCTAGTCAGTTTTATATTTAATAAACCGTAAGTGGTGTAAGTGCCGCATTGTTTAAACCCCCCGGGAGCGACTTGGATTAGATTTGGCCGCTCAAATGAGCAACAACTCTCGTGTAGGAGAAAATAACTCCGAAGAAAATAAGTCAACGGAAGGAAAAAAATCGATGGAAATAATTTCATGTCTAGCCAATCGAAGGAAAAAATGTTCAGGGAAGATAATGAGCATAAGTTTTTGGGACTTTAAAGTTGAGGCAAAAATAGAATATTACGTGTGTGAAAAGTACTTATTTCTGTTCCATGTAAGATTTACTCCCAAGTTAATTGTAGAGAATGCATAAGTACAGAGAGTGAGATTTTTTTTTTTAAATGTACACTTGGGATCGTTCAAATATAACATCTTTTTGTACGGTCTCCCTTCGATATATACCCCCTTTACCACCCCCCCCACACACACACACACGTGCACAAGCAACAGCATAATTATACTAGCTGCATCCCGTGCTCCGCCACGGTAAATCTTTTTAAAATATACCAACTTTGGAACAGAACAAAACAAACAAAAACACAACACAAACACAAACACAAACAAAACACAACCACAACCACAACACAACCACATTACAACCACAACACAATCACAACACAACCACAACACAACCACAACCACAACACAACCACAAAACAACCACAACACAACCACAACACAACCACAACCACAACGCAACCACAACACAACCACAAAACAACCACAACACAACCACAACACAACCACAACGCAACCACAACACAACCACAACCACAACACACGGTAAATCTTTTTTAAATATACCAAGTTGGGAACAGAACAAAACTAAATACAACACAAACGAACGCAAAAAAAAAAAACAACGAAAAAAACAAACACAACACTCATAACATAAACACAATTTAAATGCAATCATAAAGGCATATTGCTCACAGTCTAGCCCGTAGCGCCAAATCGCGCCCTTTCCGGTGATTTGCACCCCCTCAAACTTTCGATTTGCACCCCTCCCCCCCCCCGCCCTAAAACTTTCGATTTCCACCACACACCCCCCCCCCCCTCGCAAATTTTTTCCAACCCACTTTGGCGCACCCGGGGACATATGCCCCCCCCCCCTCGCTACGCCTCTCCTATAAAAACCCGAAAGATAGAATAATAATTAGAAAACAGTATAAATAATAGGCAGTATTTAAAATATCCGTGTTTACCTACAATATTTCACTTTATCCATTCACGCATTTTTTTTCCCAGTACTTTAAATTTTAAAAATTTACAATTGAGTTTCATAACTTAAACCATTGCGCACCTAATGAACGTGATGACGCGCCTATAATAGTGCTGAATAGTTGTTTAAAAATTATAAGTAATAAACAGTAGGGCCTACATTCAAATAAATAAATAAAAGATTGCCTTTTATCAATCCATGCTAATTATAATTTTCTAACAATAATTTCCTCTTACACATCCGAATAATTTGCATTCACATTTTGCTAATTATATTATTGCAACACTAATTCCTTCTATGACGAACGTATATTTGCATTCACATTTTTTATTAGCGTGAGTTTAATGTATTTTTAAATTACCTCCTTTGTCAAAATTAGAAAAGAGTTAAATTAATTTGATTTTTCTACCCTGCTGTTATTATGCTATTAAAATGTATCCACTTTTTCTGGGAGCCTAAACGAAAATGATATTTGACATTAATCTTTTTAATACGTTTTAGCAGTTTGCGTGTATTTAATATTTCCTTGACGTTATGCGAAAGAGTAAAAACCGTGGCAATTATAAAATAGCTCTATGCCGCTATATAAACAAACCCTACTCTATTACTTATAATAAGACACTGCGGTGCACTGAAAAGCACAGCATGGTGCGAGTGTTTACTTTTATAGTCCCAAAATCTATAGCGATGACGGACGGAAGGAAGGAAGGAAGGACAGACACAGCCCGCTTATATTATAGATACATCGCAAAAACTGAGTTTGTAAATGCTTACTTTATGGGAAATGTATCTTTTTTAATTAAAATCTCTTGTTGCATCGTAGCAGAAAATCATTGCCGGGTCTTAATTTACGATTAAAGGAAAAATGCATCAGCCATTTATGTCAATTTATTCATCCAGACATTCCAAATAGCGAAGATTATGTTTAGGTTAAAAAAAAATTCAATAAAAAAGAAAATCAATAGCAGCATTACAGGCCTATATCTTAGCTCTATATTCCTACCCTACCCGATATAACACAATATAACTACTCCCCCCCCCCCCCCCCACTTCCCCCTCCCACCCCTAAAATATGTGCGTGATTACCAGCAACCAAAAAAGTGAACTTTCGTCAAATTGTTCATGTGGCGAGACGCTGGTGTAAGTTAGGGGGTGGGGTTTTATACACACGTGCCAGGGGTCGTCAAGGAGTCGTCCATAATGACGTAACCTACATAAGGGAAGTGGGGGTAACACGTTTAGGACGAGGTGTGGCGTTGCATCAAAGTGTGACGTCATTTATGAACGCCCCCGCAGACGTGAGTATTTTCCATTCTCGGACATTTTTTTCCAGGCCCGCCATTTGCACTGAGAGCTCTTAAATAATTAAACTTTCTTCTGTCGCCCCATCCTAGTGAAAGTGGGTAACCTCATAAAGTGGGTAACCTCATAAAGTGGGTAACCTCGTAAAGTGGGTAACCTCATAAAGTGGGTAACCTCATATAGTGGGTAACCTCATAAAGTGGGTAACCTCATAAAGTGGGTAACCTCATAAAGGGGGTAACCTCATAAAGGGGGTAACCTCATAAAGGGGGTAACCTCATAAAGGGGGTAACCTCATAAAGGGGGTAACCTCATAAAGTGGTAAAATGTGGATGGGGGTGTTGCTCTCTGTAATAATTAGACCCGTTTCTCTCGCCCCCTGATGGGGCTGTTACCATAAATGCACAGTGTTTAAATATGTGTGGGAGACGTGGGCGTTCAGTGCTTGTATCGGAAACTGGTAAGCCTGATCGATAACTGGTAACGTTTCCCCTGAATGGCGTGCAGGAACCTGAACGGGTGGGGGGGGGGGGGGGGGGGGAGGGGGTCTCGTAGTGACAGTCAGGTATTAATGCTCAAGGTTACTAGCAGGCTTTTATTGAACGAGTATAAAACATACAACTTAGATAACCTATTTCTGAGCACTTTTGATGACATTTTTGCCCCCCGCCCCTTTCTCTATAAAATTTCGAGTAATTTAAACGACGTTTTACCCGTCTTAAATTTAAAGCATATGGGTCTTTCTATTGGTGCATCTTAAAGCTGTACCCGTAAATCGCACTTAACAGACTTAACAAGACGTGATGTAAATTTTGAATTTTTTTTTCTTGTACCTGCCTACATCGCCGACAAGCAGTCGATTAAAGTATCGAATGTTGATTTTTCTCCTGCCGTTACTCAGTATCGTTTCGAGGTTTTTCTGCTGGTATTATTGAGTATCGTAACGAGATTGTTTTGCTGTTATTCAGTACATCAGCGAGGTTTTTCTGAGTATCGTTTCGATGGTTTTCCCGCTGTCTGCAAAGTTCGGGGAAAATGATTAGGGCAAAGCTTAGGATAAAGGCTACAGTTTAGTGATAACTGCAAACAGTAGCTTCAGTACTTCATAATGACGATAAGAGGTTTAGACATTGTCTCAAAAATAACAAAATTACAATAATATATTTCAATAGCACTCGTGAAAGTGTGACTATAACCCCACCCTCACCCACCCACCTACCCTCAACTACATCAAACCACCCTCAACCCCACCTAACAAGCCTCACTCCCACCCAGCCACCATCACCCCCCTACCCCATCCCACTCAACCACCCACACACCCACCTCCAGTACCTATCACCGTGAGACAGGGTTCAAAAGACTTCTCTCTGGTGCCAGTTAATTGTCTGACCAATCAAGTCTTAATGAACTCCCTAGTTCGTCAGGCCTGACCGTTCAATGTCTGACGTATTTAGACGCCGTCAAACCCGTGTGAGCGGAATGGGGGGGGGGGGGGGGACTACAATGAGTCCGACAGAAACAAAACCGATGTTACAAAGGTCAAGGATGCTGTTATTTACTCAATACCCGGACTCCTGGGGTGGGAGAAAAAATGTCCATTTCATCTAAAAGTTGTGTCGGGTTTAAAAAGAGATGAATCGATGTAGCGCGGGGTAACACCTACACGGGACTTGAGTTGTCTGCCGCTGTGTCACTCCATTAGCGAACTGCACGGCATGTGCTGGGGGCTCTAATCAATGGCGGCTAATGTTCCCTTTGGCAGCTAATTTACACACACTCTCGGGCTTATTCCGAGGATTGTAAATTATCGCCCATTTTATACCAGACTGGGTTATGTCCCTTGGTTGATTTCATTTCTTACCGAGAGTTTAGTAATGAATCAATATAATTGGTTCGTTTTTCTTTAAGACTTTTATTAGACTCGCACCAATATAAATGGGCATACGTGGTTACTATTTCTATCACCGCATCCAAAATTTAAATGACTTATTTTTCCAAGTCAACCAGAGTTGTTTACACATTTTTCTGTTTACGCATTTTTCTGTTTACGCATTTTTCTGTTTACGCATTTTTCTGTTTACACATTTTTCTGTTTACGCATTTTTCTGTTTACACATTTTTCTGTTAACGCATTTTTCTGTTTACGCATTTTTCTGTTTGCGCATTTTTTGTATGCGCATTTTTCTGTATGCGCATTTTTCTGTCGCATACTCTATCCATACTCACTATTAGCCACTGGATATCACCTAGTATAGGAAGAATTTAATTTACTTTTTATTTAAAAATTTCAGAAACAATTAACTAGAACGTTAGACTGAGAAGCAATGAATAACCTAATAGTCATATTGATCCACTTTAAATTACCAGTTGTAATGTTCATAAATCTAATTTTTCCAGAAAGATCCAACTCTATCAAGAAAATTTCCAACGGAAAGTCCAAGCTGAAAGAAAGGAATGAGGAGATTGGGGTACCGCTGAATGCCTCCCCAAAAGGTGCAGGTGGTGGCGCCACTGCTGCTGCCGCTGGAGGTGTTGATAAATCAAATGGTGCTACTAAATCCCAGAACAAAGCGTACTTGCTAGAAGTTCCAAACGAAATGTCTAAGCCTGTAAGCTCAAATTAGCCCATATATAAAGAAGAAAAATTTATTTTGAAAAGAATGTATTGGCTGATTTTTAGTATTGCAATTTTCTGAAATAACAAGACGACCATTTATTGCCATTAAGTAAATAACTTAATCTTAATAGCTCATATAAAAACAAAGCTATAACCGAACCATAATGTCTAATGTTTAAACGCATAGCCCATCTATCTAGATCTAGAGTCTATGTAGTTTATTATAAATAACTGTTGCAATTGTAAGCCACTCTACAATGAAGTGCTATATTTTTCATGTATTATTTGACCTTTCTTACAGAGTTTCTTCCAGGCATCTCTTCGGGGGGGGCAAAGCCCCCCCGAAAAATTTTTACCGCCCCCCCGAACGAAATGAAATTTATATAATTTATATAGAAAATATATACTTTTAACAGTGTCCGCCCCCCCGAAGAAAGTTTACCGCCCCCCCCCCCGAAGATTTCAAGTGCCCCCCCGGAGAAAAAAGTCTGGAAGAAACACTGCTTTCTTATTTCCCTTACACATTTAATCTGAGTGATTTGAACATGAAAAGATCTCATAACAAATTTCTACTTGTCTTATTTTCGAATTAAAATGAAATGAAAATAAAATTATAAATTAAAGCTAAGTCAGTGTATATTTCAATTCCAGGAAACCCAATCAAAAACTTCCATGAGAGATTTTAAATCTTTAACGGCCTCCAAGATCATACAGTAAGTATCCGGTGACCTTCACCTAGGTAGTTTGATTGACAGCCTAGTTAGAGCAGGTAGCCCCAAGACTGTGGGAGAGAGATGGATCCAGAGAAAATATCCATTAAGTAAAGTCAGGCATTGATGTGGTTTCTCCTCACTTCATGAAGCGTCTCAGTCACATGGAAAAAAAAAAAATAAAAGAATTTTTTTTTAGCCTTCTTTATGCAAAGATTGGGGATGACATTTTATTAGCCTACTTTATATCATGGAACAAAAAACACCTTAAAGATTGATCCAGATTCTAAGAAAGCTTAAATTTCAGATTCAACTACCCTGCATTTTGAAATGGATGTTTTGTTTTTTTTAAAATGGAAGATTCGTAAATAAATTCTAGATCTAGATACATAGAGATTGGACTTGACATTTTCTTTGCAAAAAAATCTTGCATTACGGCCATTTTAAGGGAAAAAAATGTGCTATATTTTACCTCAGTTTTATGATTAGGCCCTAAGTCATTTTTATTTTTAAAATTGACTGTGGGTGCTAAATTGCCAACCAATGCAAAAGGTGGGAATAAAACCTGGTTTGTTTCACAGCTACTTCTCACAATTTTGTATTTGGTTAATTTAGTATGTTCACAAAATTAAAACTTAAAGAAATTTACTTTAATTTTTTTTCTATTTCGCATGCTCCATATTGATACCTAATGTTGAATAAACATAAAATATGCATAAATGTGTAATTGTCTAAATGGCATGAAATATGAATAGTTTAAAGAAACTGTAAAAAATATGTTTCTTCCCCAGTGTTACAAGTAGCCAGATAGAATTCTTCAAAATGTTGGACGAGAAGATAGAAAAGGTGTGAGCTCTATTTTACTTTCATTTAATTAGATCATTCTATCTGACAAAGTAACAGATGCAAATGGGTGGTGACCATTCAGTGATACAGAAATGGAGATTAAAAAATTTTGTGTTAAATAATCTCCTGGTGGTTTAGTGAATTATTTCAATGTGATCATTTTAATGACCAATTTTATTCTAAAAGAATTCAATTAGTTTCATATTACAATTATAATCCACAAAGATCTCAAAACTTTTTTTGATATCTAGTTTTCTATTTTTTAGGGCGCTGAATATCTGACATCTGGGGAGCAATCAGAAGTTTCCTCTGTTGATGAGGCTTTCAGACATTGATTTTATGACAGCTGACCTTGAACTTTGGGTGTAATATATTCAGAGGATAAGGTCAGCGTAACATGACCTGGATTTTAAACAGATGATTACTTATATAAACAATTTCTGATTCAGTATAGCAGTGAAATTTTTAATACAAAAATGCTAAGATGGTGACTTAATCAGGCCATTAATTGTGTACTTAATTAATATACACACTGATAAACAAGATGCTCTGCAATATTTAAATTCACGGATGTCGTCTTTGTGGAAGTCTTGAACACATTGGACATGGGAATGACAGTGTTCAGTCAAACAGCAATGTTATACATCCAAAGTTTTCTCACTGGAATTTGTTCTTGGATATTTTCAACAAGGCTGTACTCTGTTGCATAGTTTGTATTGCTGTATAATGCAAAAAGGTTATGTAAATAAAAACAAGGATCTGGACTGTAATACGATTGGATAATTTTATTTCTTGTGATTGGATGGTCAAGCTTGGTTCATGCAGTGACATCTAGGGGGAAAAAATCACATTTTATTCTGTTACTTTGTGGTGACTTAGATGTCATACCCATTGCCATAGCAACTTAAAAATCTCTCATATGGGACCTTTAGCATAATGACTGTAAATACTAATCTACATAGTGTGAAAGGATTCAGGGTACAGATCAAGTTGTTTAAAAGAATGCAGTGCTTGTAAAAGATTTGTTCAGTAAATCCTTGCTTGAAATTTTTAAACTACATTAAACCAATGAGTGTTGGAAAGCTCAGTTGTTGGTTGTTGTTTTTTTTTATATCTGCTCCCATTCACCTAGACCCCCCCCCCACCCCCAACTGCACTTTAAAATTTATGGTGAACTAGTTAAAAAAAAAAGAGCTTGTCACTTTCTCAATTTTTTTTCAAAAATATTTTTAAAATCCCCCTTTTTTATGAGCAGAATTTTTTTTTCATTTAAAAATATAAAACTAAATAAAATGGTAGCTTACAATTTTTCTAGGAATATCTTTGTCTTATCAGGGATGTAAATATAGTCTATAAATCATCAGCACCATCCTTGTTCAAATAGAATAGCCGGGTGTAAAAGAAATGTGATACTTTTATTGACTCTGGTCCTGGGGGGGCTCAGAGCCTTAACTGGTACAAGTGTAGGAATTTTAAGCCTTTGTTCTCATTGTAACTGAGGTAACACTTCACTGTTAGATTGTTCTTATCTTAACTGAGGTCACACTTCAATCTTAGTGCCTTGAGTGCAGCACTAGATACCATTATTTACACAGCACACATAAAAAAGATAAAACTTTAAATAATTGTTTATCATTTTTAATTAGTCCTTTAAAAGCACTTGTTAAAATCCTTTGTTTTTAATATTATACAATGTTTTTAATTAGCTTAATTACCAAATCAGGTTATTTGACATGCGTGCAATGTATATTTTAATTTTTAAACAATTATCTGTAATGTTTCAATTGATATTTTTTAGCTTGGATTTATTGTCAGTTTTGCTGGGTTGTCTGAATTGAGAAAATGTGGCATCATGACATTTTACCTTTGTGAGCTTTACTTGTACACATCAATGCTTGTTGTTGATCATCATGGGGAAATGTTAATTTTTTTCATGGTGATAGTATTCTTTTTTTTTGGGATAAGACACAAATTTATCTGGCCATATTTTAAGGTACGGGAAGTGGATATAGGCCTACTTTAGATAGGTCCATAGCCCATACTTTTTGAAGTTTAAAATAAATCTAAATGCTGTTTACTTCTTTGGGCCAGAAAAACATTTTTTTTTTGCAGTCACTTAGTCATTAAGTTCTATCTCATTCCCACATACTAAAAAATATCATGTGCCACAAACATCAAAATCCATTCAAATTAACTAAAACAAAGGATTAAAAGTTCTTTCTGCAAGGATTAAAATTATGGAACCCTAAAAAATTTATCTTTAAAATTTCTCAAAGGAATATTTACTTTTTAATGTAGAAAAAACTGTCACTATTGAAGCAAGTCAAAGTCTAAGCTCAAGAATAAAATTTTCTGTACGATTTACATAAAAAATGCTGTATTTTATCATTATTTTTAACTTTCTGGTTTATTTTTATTCACTTAAAATAAAATTTAATACAGTATCCTTATTTTAATTTGTTAAAAAAAAACATGAGTCCGATAGAGCAAGAGGCCCAAGAGAAAACAAAGATAAAGCACTGTGCAAGAACATTGTGAATGGCATTGCTGATGCATGAAAATTGTTTCACTTTTAAATCTGGCAAGCGAAGTAATTTATTTTCTGGTCACATTCAAGGAAAGATTTTTTTGGCATTAAATTATCATTTTGCACCCCTGGCCCAAGTGAGTTATTTCCCCTTGAAACTATTTTTCTTGTGCCTTTTTTTTTTTCGAACTTAATTTTAATTTAATCTGAAATCAATCAATTTAAGAAGAAAAAAAATCCCATGCATCACTTAGCCACAGGGCGTATAGTTAAACCTGCATTTGTACTAAAACTTCATTCTGATCACATTAACAGCATGAATGTGTTTTTATTCTGCAATAATAAATTTATGTAATAAATATTTTCTCAGCTTTCATATGAATTATTTCCCTTTAAGCACTTTAAATGCAGCAATGGGGATAAATCTTGTGATAATGTATAGTTACAATATATCAGTGTATTTTATGATTGTATTTCTACACATTTGTATGCTGGCTGTGTATGTATGTGTGCATCAGGTGGTATTTGTTTCCAGCCTAAAGTCCTGTCTTTCTTGATGAAGCAGTACAGCAAAAAGTAAATGATAAATGTTTACCCCACACTCCCTAAAAAAGACCATGTGCTTGACAGGTGTATAATAAATGTAGGCCAAACTAGAATCTTCTCTACTTGGAGATGTTCCAACCTGGTAGTTTAAAAAATTCCACAGGAATTGTTCATAACCTGTTCATAAAGTATTTTACTGTATACTCTTTTAAAAATTTTGTTTTTATTGTTATGACTAACATTTCCTGCTTAAAGTAGTTCAAGATTCAAAACTTGTAAGAAGTTTTACTGACCACAGTACATGCATGTAAGAAAAGAAATTAAAACTGAGCAATGTGCATTTATTGAGGTAGAACAATGGCATGAAGGTCTTAAAATGCCTTTACTTAAGCAGTTGCATAGGGTTGTTAGGGGTCAGAGACCCTCTCCACCTTAATCCACCATAAAATGTATCAAGTTACGCTGTTATTTGCAACAGTATGCTAAAAATTTGTAAGTTTTCTTTCTTGGTATAATAACCCGCATCATTGTGAGTGGTTGTCGCGTTAATTTCCTTTAGTCAGCAGAAAAATTACAACACTCCCACAATGTCAAGTATGTGTCAACACACTATACACAGCAAGTTAGGTAATTTGTCAGTACAATTACAAGCTATCCCCACACTTTAAAACTCACACAGGTAAACAAATGTTTTTTAAATCTAATGTAGAGGAGCTACTGGGGGTAAGAATTATATTACAAAGATGTACTTAAAACTCAGTTAAAACAAGCCAGATAAAAATCTCTCCATTGATGTAAATTTTTGTGGTTGACCAGAAAGTGATGAATGATCAAGTGTGGTGTGTCCTATGTGTAGTACACTAGAAAAAATGGCAGATCTTTTGTTTTGTAATTTTTAATTCAGTTTTTTTATTTACATGGCAAATGTTAAAAAGTTTTGAGTAATAAAGCTGTCCCAAAATGTTTGCTTATGTCCATGGTTGTTTTTTAAGAGTTGGCCAATATTCATTAGGAAGTTTAATATTAGAATCTCAGTTATTTCCTGGAATGTTGTCTCTGGATCACTTGTGTAAACTTAGAAATGTGTTAGGCCTATAGTGTAGAAAATGGATTTATTCTTACTTTGGATTTAAAATTGGGCTTGCAATGGAAATAGAAAATGTGATATTTCTTGTGATATTTATTTGTACAAATTCACTGTTGAATGCAACTGCCAATCAATCTTGGGTTTGAGTCCACCCAGCTCAGGTGGGTAACTAAGTTAAATTAGGGAAAAATGTCTGGGCACAAAACTGACTGTGCTATTTATTGTTCAGGTGACAGAAACAAGTGAACTCTACTTCATCAGATCTAAAAGGATATCTACTCGCTTTTTATATTGATAGTAAAAAAAAATGAAACTACATTTTATTTTGGTATGAAATTTATTTCTAATGCAATGAAACATGTAATATGGCATGAGAGGATGATGGTGATAAATTGGTGATCAATCAACCGTGTCCATCACCGATGTGGCGCTGGGGTCGGGGCTGGTACACTCATCAAAGGCGAGTCTAGTTTTTCTGGGCTTGGCATCGGACTCGGCTCAAAGGTGGAGATTTTTTCTTGCAAAATCTCAAGCGTGGAGCGAACTGACTCGGACATCTAGATATACATAGAACAAAGTGACTGACATCTAGATATACATAGAACAAACTTAATGACTTGGACATCTAGTTAATGTGACAAACAAACAGCTTGTAACCACAGTATAATTTACTTTAACTCTCAAAACTTGCCTTATATATAAATATACGAGCCGGCCCGCGGCATAACATACACCGCTAATTAGTTGTTTTTTCTACTTTTCAGTAATTCATAATTTATGAATTCGACAGTAACAACGCTGCCATTGAAAATATTTCTTTAAAACACTATAAGTAGCGCTTGTTAAGGACCATAACCCCCCCCCCCCCCCCCTCCCCCTACGTTTAAAATCGTTGGCTCTGCTTGTAAACATTTAGAGTGAACACAGCTCACTAAAACCATGTAGGGGTGGGGAGGTAGGGAGCGCGTTTGCAGCTTGTTTTCTAGGGCTCCCAGAAGAGAATTATATATATAGATATTAGGGTAATATATAGGACAGGGATCATTGTAGAAAACATTTCAGAATGGCAACAAAAGGAGTGTGACCTGACATCGGTATGTTGGCAATGAATTTTACCATATTGTTTACATAGGAAATTACAATTTTTACTTAATCTATTAAATTTGTTTTGTTTTTCATTTAAACCCCTGAATTGGAAAATTTTTCAAGGCAGGCAGTTTTGGACACAAGGAAATTATAAGATTAAATTGAGCGTTCACATGACTTACATCTTTGTCCGAGGCTAAATCTTCTATGATGGCTTCCAGCCTGGGCCGAGACATTTTGTGGTGCACGTACATAAGCAGACGTAGTAAATGTCGCAACACATGTTCTCTCGAGGATGCTGGCTATGAAATAAAATTGTCTATTTTTTTATTTTAAATTATAATCTTCTGTGTTGCATGTATGAATGAATACAAAACAAAGGGAAACTACTCCTTTTTAACTATGACTATTTTTAATGAAACAAAAGGCAAAGTATTAAAAAGTAATTTTTAAAGGCCATATTTTTCTATTGGTCTAATGGTACCACAACTATGAAAATTTAACAAACTGGCAAAAGAGATTTTTAAAATGCTAAGGAATATCTCTATGAATGACATCATTGGCAGCTGACCAAATCTATATTAGAGCTTAGCTCTTAAGTTTAACCTCAGCTGTAGCTCAACATGTCACATGATCTGTCCAGTTGTTGTCTGGCCAAATAGGTGGTCACTGAATGCTATGATGGACTTGTCCACAAACAAAACTACAATTTTAAAATGAGTTGAGACCTGTTCTGTGTGTTAGTATTTCAAAACAACAAAATATAACAAGCTAAGTCCTGGGAAAGATACCATTAAAGAACCCCCCATCATGAATAGCAAAAATCCTTGCAAGATGCATCAAGGAAAGACTCATGTAACGCAGTCATAAAAAAGCTACTCTAGAATCACAGACTGCAAATCCTTATAAACTCTGAGCAAGTTCGTACTCACCATAAAAAAAAAGTAGTACACTAAAAACACTAACAACTACAAATAACCTGTGAAGCCTCAGTTTAGATAGTACTCACCATGAAAAACTCATCTAGAACAGCTGAACAAAAATCCTCATGTTGAAACTCATCTTTCATGTGAATGAGGTACGAGGACAAGCAATGGAGGAATGTGTCGCTGAAAGCCCGGTCGTTGTCACAATGGATTAATGTTGGCAGCATCTGAACCACTGCAGGTCTGTCCTTCAGCCGAGCACACTGAAACATTAAACACAAGTTGAAAGTGAATTAATGTAGGCAGCATCTGAACCAGTGCCGGCCTGTCCTTCAGCCGAGCACACTGAAACATTAAACACATTCGTACTGCTGTCATACTATTCAAATTTATAGCCTAGCACACTAAAATATTAAATAGATCTGTACTGCTGTCTTACTATTCAAATTTACAGCCTAGCACACTAAAACATAAAACACATGTGTACCGCTGTCATACTATTCAAATTCATCTTTATTAAAACATACAAGAAATCATTTAACGGCTAAAAATAATAATTAAAAAAATAATATAGTTTTATTTAAATATTTAAAATGAAAAATTTCTAGTTCTGTTCAATAGATTTGGTTAGTTTTCACAAACTTTATGGTCATTCAGGTAGAGTAGGAAAGTTGTGAAGTTGTTCATCTTTGAGATTTTGTGATGTTGTGTGACAAAATCAGAGAATGGGGTAATAAATTAATTATTGATAGACATCAAATAAAAATGTACACACCTGTAAACAGTAGTACATGGCAACCATACTAGCCAGGGGACTCTGACTTATCCAGCTGGCGTACATGTCTGGGGGGATGGGCGGCATTAAAGGTTTCTCCCCGGGGATTTTGGAGGAGAAAAACCTGATCTGATCTTCAGCCATCAGGGACACAATGTAGGCAAGGTACTTTGTGAAGAATGTTGGTTCCTGTAAAAACAAGGTACTTTGTGAAGAATGTTGGTTCTTGTAAAAAAAGGTACTTTGTGAAGAATGTTGGTTCCTGTAGAATTAAAACAAGGTACTTTGTGAAGAATGTTGGTTCCTGTAAAAACAAGGTACTTTGTGAAGAATGTTGGTTCCTGTAGAATTAAAACAAGGTACTTTGTGAAGATTGAAACCATATTTGAAAAAATAAGAATAATTTATCTTCATTAGTTTAACATAAATTGTTTTTTTTATTTTTGGGTAATCACAAAAAGTAATGTATATTTTATACTTTAAAACTTATTATTTATTCTAAGGAATATATTTTCATAAAAAGTAAAATCTAAAAATAGTTTTCTGAATTGAATAAATGGGATCTAAGGACAGTTCATTTTTGGTCTATCAATATCTAAACAATAGAATCTTTGCAACAAGCTAAACTTGTTTTTTTTATTTTTGGGTAATCACAAAAAGTAATGTATATTTTATACTTTAAAACTTATTATTTATTCTAAGGAATATATTTTCATAAAAAGTAAAATCTAAAAATAGTTTTCTGAATTGAATAAATGGGATCTAAGGACAGTTCATTTTTGGTCTATCAATATCTAAACAATAGAATCTTTGCAACAAGCTAAACTTATAATTTTTGTGGTTTATCAATATGTAAACAATAGAATCTTTATCACATGCTAAACTTACAATTTTTGTGGTCTATCAATATCTAGACAATAGAATCTTTATCACATGCTAAACTTACAATTTTTGTGGTCTTATATTATCTAAACAATAGAACCTTTAACACAATCTAAACTTACAATTTTTGTGGTTTATCAATATGTAAACAATAAAATCTTTATCACAAGCTAAACTTACAATTTTTGGCTCTTTAAAATTTCCACTGTCAATCATCTCCCAGGCATTGAGGCCAAGAGCTGTCATCCTGCACAGGAGTTGTAGGTCAGGGTTGTCCTGTAGGACAGTAACAAATAGAGGGTTGTAGGTCAGGGTTGTCCTGTAGGACAGTAACAAATAGAGGGTTGTAGGTCAGGGTTGTCCTGTAGGACAGTAACAAATAGAGGGTTGTAGGTCAGGGTTGTCCTGTAGGACAGTAACAAATAGAGGGTTGTAGGTCAGGGTTGTCCTGTTGGATAGTAACAGAGGGTTTAGGGTTGTAGGTTATGGTTGTCCTATAGGACAGTAACAAACAGAGGGTTGTAGGTCTGTTGGGAAATATAATTTGACTTAAAGTTTAACAAGAAGTGTTACCTACCCTAGGTAATGTATCTGTGTTGACACAAGTTTGTAACATCTTCATCAAGGACTGTAGAATGATATTCAGTGCATAAGGGTCAGACAGAACCATAGACAGGTCACTGAAAAACATTTAGTTACAATTTAATCATCAAACCAAGAACCTAGAGAACATTTAGAACAAAAAACATTTAAAATTAAATGGGACAAATATCCAATAATAGTTAATGACCTAAAAATACCATGTAGCCAGTCATGTCTAAGACGCTACAATTTAAAAGTAAGAGCAAAAGAAAAAAATATTCACACTTACCCTAAAACAAATTCTTGCCCTTTTTTAACGGAATCTAAAAATCCTTGCAGCTCCCTAGCCCTCATTGTGTTGACAGCTTTCTCCCTGATACAGGCGTCAACGCACCAGGTGAACTTGTGGCACGGGTCTTTGGAGCAGATGGCGTTCAGCTCCAGGTCATGGATGGCCATCAGAAGTTCCACCCTGGTCAAAACAACATTCAGCTCAAAGTCATGTATGACATAAACCACATTCAGCTCAAAGTTTTTTCCCCATAAAACTTACATTTTTCAATACAGATTATTTACTCCTCACTGACAAGTGCTGATAAAAAAAAAGTAAAGTTCCTTTTCAAACCTGACGGTCTATAGGGCAAGTAAAGTAGAGTTCACTTGTTTCTGTGACCTCGGCATATGAAGAGATAGTGTGGTCAGCACTATGCCCAGCCGTCTTTACTTTCCCTAACGTGAGTTAGGTACCCATCAGAGTTGGGTGGACTCAGGGACTTGAACCCGGATTCGAAGTCGAGACTTTCGGGTTAGCAGTCCAGCTCTCTACCGCTAGGCCACTCCATCCCCAAGTGCTGATACCCATAACAAAATAACTCCTTGTCAATGTTTTACACTTAACATAGTTGAATTGTCGGTGTTTTGGCAGACTAGCAGCTATTCATTCTTAACATGGTTGACAGATGTTTGCTGAAGAAGCAACTGTTAAACTTTGTGCATTTCTCTAAAAAAAATTAATCATATACTAGTAAAAAAAGTAATGGTACAAGTAAGGCAACAATGTTCACCTTAATGTACAATAGTGCGTATTTCTTGTTCGCAAAAAGAGTGTCCGTAGAAACTGCAGCACCATGTCGTACAACTTCACGTTAGAGCCAATCATCTCAAGGAGCTGCGTCAAAGTTTCTTTCTGCCTCCGCTGCTTTGGGTTTGAGGAGAAAAATGTGAGGCCGGGGCTGTCATGACGATACAGAGACCACTCTTTCTCTTTCAAGTATTTGGCCAGCAAAGGCTGAACTTCGTCACCAAACAGGGCTTGATTATTTTCCCAGATCTGTCGCTTCACTTCGGTGGATGCTTCATTGTACAGTTCCTATCAAGATAAGGAAGCATGTTAGCAATATGGAAGTCCTAAATATCTAAGTCAATATTTGTGTTTTAGCTAGTTAAGCTATTTTAAGTGACATATTTAACCATTTAGCTATATGGCAATATGGAAGTTCTAAATATTTAGGTCAATATTTGTGTTTAGCCAGTTTAACTATTTTAAGCGACATATTTAACCATCTAGCTAATGTTTTATGTGACATATATTTTATTTAAGCTTTTTGAAAAAAAGTTGTACCTAGTAATTCAGCAACTATTTGATGTGACCTACTTTTTCATCTAGTTGTTTTATCTGACCTACATTTTAATTGTTTTTAATGACCTAGTAAACCAGCAACCATTGTAAGTGACCTACTTTGTCATCTAGCTACATTTTAATTGTTTTAATGACCTAGTAAGTCAGCATCCATTGTAAGCAACCTACTTTGTCATCCAGCTGTTTTATTTGACCTACATTTTAATTTTTTTTAATGACCTAGTAAGCCAGCAACCATTGTAAGTGACCTACTTTGTCATCTAGCAGCTGCTGCAGGTACTCATCTTTTACTTTAGGGAGATGTTTCATCACGGCCAGGACCACAGGTCTGATGTCCTTGTTTTTGATGGCAGGAAAGCTGTTGTCCAGCAGGGTCTCAAGCTTCTGGATGGCATCAGGCTCACTGCTTGCAGCTAGCTCCGCAATTTTCTGAAATTAAAAAAGTCAATTAAAAATTAAACTGGGCGCCTCTATCATTAACAACATTAAAATATAGTGTCATCAACTAGCTCCGCAATTTTCTGAAATTAAAAAAGTCAATTAAAAATTGTGAACTTCTATTATTACCAACATTACAATACAGTGTCATCAGCTAGCTCCGCAATTTTCTGAAATTAAAAAAGTCAATTAAAAATTGTGAACTTCTATCATTACCAACATTACAATACAGTGTCATCAGCTAGCTCCGCAATTTTCTGAAATTAAAAAAGTCAATTAAAAATTGTGAACTTCTATCATTACCAACATTACAATACAGTGTCATCAGCTAGCTCCGCAATTTTCTGAAATTAAAATTAAAAATTTAAAATTGTGAACTTCTATCATTACCAACATTACAATACAGTGTCATCAGCTAGCTCCGCAATTTTCTGAAATTAAAATTTAAAATTTAAAATTGTGAACTTCTATCATTACCAACATTACAATACAGTGTCATCAGCTAGCTCCGCAATTTTCTGAAATTCAAAAAATCACTTTCAAAATTAAATTGGGCGCCTCTATCATTACCAACATTACAATACAGTTTCATCAGCTAGCTTTGCAATTTTCTGAAATTAAAAAAGTCAATTAAAAATTAAATTGAGTGCTTCTCTATCAATAACTACCAACAGGGTATTACGGTGTAGTATGAATTTTTTTTTGTGCTAGGACTATTGTTAGGTTATTGTTAACATAAAAAAATATAACTTCAACTTGAAGTCCCAAACAAATTGTACCTAAATAGCATTTACTGCCTCACCTGCAAGAGCCTTTCTCTGACAGTTTCAAAAATCGACAGGTTGAGAGTTAGCCTTTTCACCCCATGCAAGTCCAGGAAAGGCAGAGCGATCTTCAGAGATTCTGCATCGATACCATTGAGGTTCTGAAATTCTTGAATAGCACTCAACGGATCAGTGGATGTAGTGAGGGCAATATTTAAGTGAGTTCCTGTAGCTATGCCAATCTTATCCAGCCCTGTGTCACTTGGTAGGACTGACATCTTAAAAAAACAAATGTTGATTAACGTAATGAAAAAAATAATACAAAATCTACCTTCAGGGTATCCAAAGAGTTGAGACGACAAAAATGTGATGCTTAATTATTAATTAAAAATTACTAGGCCTATTAATAAAAGAGCATAATTATGGTAATTAACATTAAGGCCTACATAGCATTGCAGATATGAATGAGAGTTAACTTAAATCTTAATATTTGTTCTTATAGTTATATACTTATAAAAATTTAGATCTAGGCCTAGCTAGGCTAACACTACTAACAGTCAACTAAACTTCACAAAATCTACGGCTACCTCCTTTTGCAGATTCAGTAGGCCTAGAATATTATTATTAATATTAATTAGTCTAAGTAAGATATTATTCACAGTGGTAAATGGCATAAAGTTATAGTTTATTGGGAATGGAGCCCTATACTATAGATCAGGGGTCTCCAAACTACGGCCCGCGGGCCGGATGCGGCCCGCGAGGTCATTTTATCCGGCCCGCGACGATCTTTTTGTCCACTGAATAAACGTTTGTTGGAGGTGGCTGAGGAGCTTTGCACAGAAAATTCAAAACTATTTGAAAATGTAGCTTTGTGTGCAAATACAATTACTCGCCGTGTTGCAGACATTAGTGAAAACATTGCGACTCAAATAGCAAAAAATTCAAGCAAGTTTTGCCATTTTTCAATTGCAATGGATGAGTCGCTGGGCAGCTGTTCCACTTCTCAACTTCTTGTGTTCATTAGAGCCGTGTGGGTGAAGACCTGAACATAACACAAGAGCTGGCTTCCCTACATATAATGTATGACACTGTTACCGGAGAGGATATCTAACCATAGATAGTTCAGAGACAAACACAAAATCGCAAGATGTACCATATTTCGCATCAGTAAGATTGCTAATTTTGCGAGAAAATTCTGAGCAGAGTATCTAAGAAAAGAAATAGGTGACTTCCTGATAGTAAAGGCAAGTCACAGCCATTTTTGTCTGATGAAGAGTGGGTATAGAAATTGGCCTCTGCTGCAGACATAACTAGTCATTTAAATTTTCTGAACCTAAAACGGCAACAGAGTGAAATCTAGTTTCTGATCTATACATCCACCTAAAGGCCTTTAGATCCAGACTTGTCATGTTTTTGGAACAAGTACAGGCTAACAACTTGACACACTTTCAGCAGTGCAAGGTCTTTACGGCTGAAACAACCACTGAGTTCCTCACGTCATTTACATACGAGATCATTAAAGACCTTCAGCTGCAGTTTCAGTAACGGTTTTCTGACTTGGATTCATAGGCAGAAGAAGTGAGACTGTTTCAAAGCACATTTGAAGCAAATGTGGCCAGTTGCAAAGATGAACTGCAGCTGGAGGTCATTGAATTGCAGGAAAATGACTTCCTTAGAGACACGTTCATAGAAGGGCAGATGGGTTTTCATACGTTTTTGCACAACAATCTCAACTTGTTACGTATTTAGTTAAATACGCGGTAGAAAAGTTAATTATAAAAGAAATTTAGGCAAATTTTGCCGTAGGCTATTCTCTGGTCGGCCTCTCCTCAGTAGGCATTGTCCGAACATATTTAGTGTTGTTGACGTTACGCGTCAATGACAGCCTTTGAACCTTGTCGGCTTTCTGTTTTGATCCTAAGTTTTGTTATGTAATGAGCGTGATAAATGTGGGCAGTAAAGGTGGTTGAACTAAACATAACTATTGTTGCCATGAGTTGAGGGCAGCAAGTCAGATGAACTTACTATTTCACGGTAATTTAATATTGGTTTTTTTAAAAAAAACACGATGAAAACCGTGGACTTTGGAGCATTCTATTAAATGCTACTAATCCTAAGTTTAAAATAATTACAATCTACATACTTCATAATAAATATTTTTAGATGAATTATAAAAATTCCTATGCTTATACAGCCTACACACATTACATTACATTTAATTAATCCTAAGTTAATTTGCACTCTCTAAATATTTAATACATAAAGTATTAACAAATATCATGCAAATATATATTTGTGACTTTTTTCCTGTGACTTTTTTTCCTGTGACTTTTTTTCCTGTGACTTTTTTTCTGTGTTTTTTTTTTCCTGTGTTTTTTTTTCCTGTGACTTTTTTTCCTACAATCGGGGGGGGGGGGGGGGGGGGGTGGTGGTGGTAGACGTTCTTTGGGGGGGGGGGGGGGGGGGCGCCGTGACACTTAAGAGATGCCTTAAAGAAACTCTGGCCCCCGAACTGATATTTGATAGTTAATGCGGCCCTCAGGCTGAAAAGTTTGGAGACCCCTGCTATAGATTAATAATATGGTCGGAAATTTTTCATTTCGGGCTATATATTCCAGCAGACCAATTGACTAGACAGTAAAAATTATAGTAGATCTAGAATTTTTGCAGCAATGGCATATTTATTTATTGATTTTAAAATTTGGCATTTGCCCTAAGCTAGTATGTAAACTAAATAAGGGGAACAAGGGAAGATAACTTTCAGTAAAATCTGTCTAGAATTTCTTTTTGGGTTTCCTGATTTGGTCTCCTTGAGGCCTAGCTAATTTAATTTATGTTTCGAGTACAATACTAAATACGAACTTGAGAAAATATTTTTTCCTTATTTTATTATATATATTATAAATATATATTATACTAATAAGGCACGGCTTTAAACTTTAAAATATATATATATATATATATATATATATATATATATATATATATATATATATATATATATATATATATATATATATATATATATACAGGCCTACATTTTACAAGCCAAAACTAATAGAATTATTGTCTTTTGTAAATCGTTGCTATACAATGCAATTTTATTTCAAAAACAGATTTATATATAGGCTAAGCCCTGCCCTAAAAATAAAAATTAAATAAATGAAATTTTCAAATTACAAATACTTTCCATGGCATTATTCAATTTATTCATTCAGTGATTAGGCGTCATCCATAAATGACATCACGCTTTTTAAAATGATTTTTACCTCCCCCCCTCCACTCCGTCACACGTCATTACAAAAAGCCAGAACCCCCCTAAAAATGACGTTACACCTCAGACCTCAGCCTACAACCCCCACTCAAAATTGCAGTTGAATTTTTTTTTTAAACTTCGATATTTTTCTAAAATCTTGTCTGATCTCTGTCAAAATAGAGTATTTTAAACAATTCCTATTACAATTTATTAAAACAGTTTTCTAAAACGCGAAATAGCATCTAAAATTCGTTTTCTAACATTGCTTTTATATAATGCAAAAGTGTGACGTTGCACCATCTGAACCCCCCCCCCCCCCCCATCACACACCGGCACAAAATTACGGACCCCCCTCACCCCTAGGAGTGTGACGTCATTTGACATTTATGGACGACCCCTTAGTTAGGGCGCCCTTAGGCCCTAATAATTATCTAGTATTGTCTAATAAGGCGGTAGGACTAAGGACTACTAAGGAGGCTAAGCCTAATGAGTCAATGACTCACTAATGACTCGTAATATAATGAGTAATAATGAGGCTAAACGGCCGCCGGCTAAGCCCCTGGCCTAAGCTCAGTAAGCTGGCCTAAGCTAGGCCCTAGCCCTAAGCGGCTAAGCCTAAGCCGCCTAAGCCTGGTATGTGTAGTGAGTAGTGTGTACCCACCTTTGTAAGGGGGCTGCTAGATCTAATTCTAGTAAGAAGTCGGCCTAGTTTGTTGTTTTAAATATAGATCTAGATTATTTTATATTTTTAAAAAAATAGATATTCTAAACTTAGATCTAGATCTTCTAGATCTAGATTTTTACTCCATGGGCGCTGCCATATTTAAACTAGACTATTGTTTTTATTTTGCATGGCCAATAAAAATTTGGAAGGGGTATTCACGCATCAACTGTAAAAAAAAATTCAACATTGTAAAGTTAAGCCTATTTAGGAAATCTAGGTCTAAATTCATTATTTTCTCATGATGTTTTTATGATCAAAATATAATTTACTGGAGTTTACAATCTAGACATTACTTTTGCAAAGAACGTTTAGGCTAAGCGGTACTTTCTTTCTTTTCAATTTATTTAAGGGAGGACACTCAAGTAAACAGGAAAATTTAAACATAGGCGTGGCACTTCCCCTTTTTCAGGAAGCGATTAGAGATATAAATCATCTATCTTAGTAGTCCAGTCAACAACAAAAAGCCGGTCTGATTAGGGCCCTAATTTCATCGATTTGTTTACCTGATAGATTAGTTTCTTAACTATTTAATCGCGTTAAATCCTGTTGTGTTTTAAAAGGTGAATGTTTAGAATTTTGCTCAACATTACAAGTTTCATTTTATTTAATAAGTTAATTTTAAAACAAAACAAACTGAGAAACTGGCTCTTCAAATTTATTTATTTAGTTAGGGCCTAATATTCCTAATAATATTAATATTTATTAAATTATTAATATTAGCAGATTAGCATTAGGCTACTAATTATAGTAATTAATACTTCATTCAGATTAAACTCTACTTGACTACTTAGCACTTGTACTTACTCACGATGATGTCTGTTACTTTCCTCTTTTAAACTTAGTTAATAATACTACTAGTAGGCCCTAACTAATCTATACTTTATTACTTACGTCTCATGACTACACTGAGTACTACTACAGACTTAATAAATAAATTATAGGCCTAAATAACCTACACTTACTCACTGAGTTTAACTCAAGTCTTAAATACTACTCTAAATATCTCACACTGACATACAGAGTTTCTTCCAGGCTTCTTTTTGGGGGGAGATTCTACACTTGTTGATTGAGTGTAGTCTTACAGACAGAAATTATAACTTATAACAACTGGAATTGAAATTCACAAATACCCAAAATGAACCTGGTTATCTGATACTACTCAGTACTTGGGTAGATTATAGATCTAACTAGAGAATCTAGTAGTACAAGACTAGAACTAAATTAGATTCTAGATCTACCACTGAGTTTAGAACAACCACCTGGAATTTTGTCAAGTTTATTGAATTGTTAAGTAGGCCCTAATTTTCATGATTTTTACTTTGGCCTAATTCGCTAATAGTAGACCCTCTAAAATAAAAATTAACAAAATTGTTTAGCTAGGCTTCCTAAATTTTAAAATTATTTCTTAACTCTCGACAGAACCAGTCCTAACCTTCTTTATTGCAATCCACAAAAATAGCTTGTTTTCTTAAAAACTTACAATTGCAGATTTTATTTATTTTACCTAGTCAAGTAGATCTAGAAATATGTTTAGTTAGGGATGTCAAATCATAGATCAAGCTCATCATATGGAATATTAATTAGAGCAGGGGTCTCCAAACTACGGCCCGCGGGCCGCACCCGGCCCGCGAAGTCCTCTCATCTGGCCCGCTGAGATCTTTTTGTCCAAGGAAAAATCGTTTGTTGGTGATGGCTGAGGAACTTTGCCCAGAAAAATCAAAGACATGCCTGGAAGAAACTGGCCCCCGAACTGAAATTTGATAGTTAATGCGGCACTCGGGCTGAAAAGTTTGGAGACCTCTGAATTAGAGCAAACTCCCAACCCTCCCTCATGTGTATGATGTAATTTATTGTACATCTCATTATTTAAAAAAAGTAAGAAATAGGGTCTACTTAGTAATGATAGTTATTTGTTATGATGATAAAAATTAGTTTACTAATACAGAGATGAGGACAAAACTATAGTCTGCTATTCATCTTTATCATCAGTTGATCATAAATTATAATCAGTAGTATGTTATAGGCCTATTTTTGTTGATGCCTTCTAATAATAGATTATAGTAATCACTTTATTTTTATCCATGAAAGCAGCCTGAAAAGGAAAGCTCAAGCAGTATAAAATAAGTTGTTTTTGCATTAGCTTAAAGAGATGCTAGTTTGAAAATCGTATTTACCATAAAATAGGCCTATTTTATATTATTTTAAAGTAATTGATTTTGAATTCAAAAAAGGTTAAACAATTATTGTTTTACATACATAAAAGTACCTGCTAATGTAAATAGTTATATACAACTGTGTCAAAATTTAATTTATAAAGCTATTTTAGTTATTTTAGTATCTTGTAAGTGTAAGTTCTGTACAAAAAAATAAAGTTTTATTTACTTTGACACCTGTTAGCATAGTTATCAGTTCAGTAAATCAAAATCAGTCTGTGATGTGTTTAATTGTTTAAGACTTGGCTGCAAACATTTTCGAACGCTAAGAAAATAGTTTATAAAATCCAAGCTTTGTTAAGTGATTTTTAGAAAATATGATTTCATTGATTTGGTTTTTTTTTGTTTTTTTTTTTTAATTTCCATGATGATGTAGATGTCAAAAGAAAATAATAATTCACAAAAATCTCAGGTAGGACTGCTTGACTATTGTGTGTGCTTTGAGTCAGCATCCAGTCAAACCATGCTTGGATTTCTCTTGCTTTAGCTGTAGATAAAATGTTGTGTTTACCATTCATCTGTTAGCATCAGACATGGAAATAGATTCAACATAGATAATAGATGACTAGATGAGTATAGACATGTGATGTTTACAAAGTAGATACAGGGTCTAACGCTGCACATATAATGTTTAACTGCAAAACTCTTTTTATAGTCGCCACATCACTTCCCTCCCTGTTTTGACAATTAAAACAATTATTTGAATAACTAGCCTAATAATATTATTTTAAATCTAGATACTTAAGCTACTCAAAATTAAGTTTATGCAAATTGTTAATTTATTGTAATGCACTTTTTACCCAATTAACACTTAAGTGTGATAAAACACATCAGCTTGCACCTTTTTGCTGTGAATAAAATGTTGTAATGTTAATATGAGTGACATCATTGTTCACAGGCCACTTTTTAAATATAACTATTTAATTACCACCTGTATTTTTTCAATCCATATTATTCTTTACTGTATGATTTCCTATTCAAGTATTATTCGTGCTATACACAAATTTGTTTTCTGAGAAGTGTGTCATTGTTTTTATTATATCCACCAAGCTAAGAAAATACTGTTTATTTTCTAAAGTTTATTCATTCTTTTTCTACCCATTGTAAAAGTAATTTGTATATTAAATTATTTTAACGAGCCGACCCGCTGCGTATCATACGCCGCTATTTAGTTGTTTTTTTTTTCCTACTTTTCAGTAATTTATAATTTGTGAATTCGACAGTACCAATGCTGCCACTGAAAATATTTGCTTAAAAACACTAAACCCCCCTTCCCCCCCCCCCCCCCCATGTAAAAGCAGCCTCCTCTTAGTTACCTCCTCTAAGTTTAAAATCGTTTCAAACTAAATTATCTGCCCCTAATAGCCGTCACCAAACCCGTCTCTATGATTGTAAAATGTAAACAGCGTGACCACAGCTCACCAGACAATGTGGGGGTGGGGTGGGGGTGGTAGTGATAGTGATAGAGAGAATGAGAGGGGACTGCAAGGAGGCGCTTGCAGCTTGTTTTCTAACGGCTCCCAAAAGAGAATTATATATATAGATGATTATGCTCATTATAACTCTTCACCCATGTTTAATTTGACACCTGTTTTTATTCAGATGAGCACTGACGTAGGCTTTGAAGATGAATCAGCATTCACTGCAGCCATCCTGGATGTCAGAAATGACAGTAATGACACAAATTATGTCATCTGTGGTCATATTGAAGGGAACCCTAACAAAATTGGAGTTCTGTATGTCGGCACAGATGTCAATGAAATAGGTTCAAAAATGGATTCTTCCGAGGCCATGTATGGCTTAGCAAGATACGAAACAAAATTTGATTTGTCCACAACTGTTAAATTTGTCTACATTCACTGGTAAGACATCATACTTTAATTTAGCTTTATTTTTTATTAATATTTTATTTTTCACAAGTATGCTGAAACTTTCTTTTCAGGCTAGTTACTTATCTAGATGTGATCTTATTTTTATTTTTATGAGTAAAAAAATAAATAATTTAGGGAAAATAAGAGGTGTAGGTTATGAATCATTTTTTAATAACATTCAGTGGGCAACTTTGTGTCAGTTTTATATGTTGTTATTATTTTTAAACTTCTTTTTACTAACTTTTTTTTTACATTTTGTTTTTATCAGCCTAACAGTGCATTACCACTACATTTCAAATTTTTTTCCCCAGGATTGGAGATAGCCTGCCTGTAGCTAAGAAGGGAAGGTATGGAGTTGTGCATGGCAGCATTGAGTCAAAGTTCTCTCCGTACCATCTGCTCGTTGAAGCAAGCACAGCTGAGGAATTGAATAGTGAAAAAATTTTACATACTGTAAGTTCTTGTTTTTCTGATTATTTTTTTGGTCTTCTTTATTATACTTTTTATATACTGTGAGAACATGGTTTATGTTTTGTACTGGATCAGCTGATGGAGACAGCTGGCACCAAGTCCAAAGTTCTGGACGATGGTCAGCTGCCCCAGAGACAGATGCGAGGCTTCACCCAGACCCAGGTTCCCCAGCGAGACAGGAAGGCCAACTTTGGCGTCTCTGCCGTGTCTGCTAAAGGCGCTGAGGTGGAGATTCTAGCAGACGTGGCCGAAGCTGTGGCCAGGGTTAGACTGGACGGTGACCCAGCCACGTGGATGGTTGCTGGATACAAGGATGCTAATCCAAGAGGTGACTATGTTTTAGCTTTTAAGTCAGATATGATCCCAATATTATCATTCCACTCTTTTTTTATAAAAAATTAAAAAGGCAAATAGTATGTTGGTAAACTTGTTTTTCTAACTAAATTTCTCTTGTAAACAACTGATATCAAGTATTAGCATTTATCAATTATCTATTAGCTTGTGATGATAACATGCAAGGTCACAATTTGTTATGGTTATCATGAAAAAACTGCTAGATTTAAAATTTATGTCACAGCTATCTTTGTAAATCTATACTATTGATTCCATTTATAAAGTGTGTTCATTTTATTATTTTTTGGTCCAGATATTATTAGGTTGTCCTTCATTTCATACAATCCTAATAATTTTTTGTAATTCTAATGAGTGTGTATTTGATTCTGCCAGATTAACTATACCACTACTTTAATCATTGTAGCTGTAGGACTAAAAATAGTCTTGCTAAACAAATTCTAATCCCACCTTAAACAAATCCTAAATTTTTATTAAAAAGTAAAGAACTCTACAAGACTATAGGGCAAATAAAGGGCTAAAGGGCAAATAGAGTTAATTGTTTCTGCAATATTGACATGAAGGAATGTTGTGGTGTTTACCTGATTTATGTTAGTTTCTCATTAGAGCTGGGTTGAGGGGGGGAGATACTAGACTTATGCCAGAGAGACTTTAAGGTTAGTAGAATATCACAGGACCATACCAACCCTACACCACTAATCTGTGATAGAGCTGGGGCAGCAGTGTTGACTATTTCCCTCAGTATAATATCCACCAAATTCACATCGTTACAAAATGTTAAAAAATGTTAACATGGCAGGTCCCGTGCAGTGTATGGGATGTGGCGAGGGCGGCCTGGATGAGCTGAAAGGCTGTTTAGATGATTCTCTTCCCATGTATGGCTTGTATAGAGTCACACACACTGATGCTGATGACATCACAACTGTCAAGTTTGTTTACATCATCTGGTAAGTCCAAGTACCAAAACATATCATTGTTTACAGATGTAAATAGTGTTTGTAGCCTCACATTAAGGACGTCTACCATTATAAATTCTTTAGACCTGAGCCAAGATCTTCATCAGCACACAAGTGTGATTCAGCCTGTTTGAGATTTTAAGAACTTACCTCCCTCACCATTTTACTTATTCACATGTAACGAGCAACTCTTAGAAGCAACTATCAAATTTATTTGTGTGTATAGGGTGATGGGGTCTTTTAGAGTAAATGAAGTAGAGCTTATCTATTCTATGAACCAAGAGAGCACAAGACAAAAACTATCTTGCTTTCCTCCAATTAATGCCAGGTACCCATCAGGGCTGAGTGACCTCTTGTACTAACACCATGTACCTTTAATGAACTGAAGGTAAAAGATCTATAGAGAAGTGTGTGTGCTGTTATTTAAATGTTTGTTTACTCAATGGCCACAGGGTAGGAACCAAGGTCAAGCCAATGGCCAAAGCCAAAATCTCCACCCATAAAGGCACAGCCGAGGAGATTTTCTGCCCCGCTCATGTCACTGTGTACGCATCAGAGCTTTCAGACATTGTTGAAAGAAACATCATGGAAAAGGTAAATTAATGAGTTGAAAGAAACATCATGGAAAAGGTAAATTAATGAAAAAAACATCATGGAAAAGGTAAATTAATGAGTTGAAAGAAACATCATGGAAAAGGTAAATTAATGAGTTGAAAGAAACATCATGGAAAAGGTAAATTAATGAAAAAAACATCATGGAAAAGGTAAATTAATGAGTTGAAAGAAACATCATGGAAAAGGTAAATTAAGGAGTTGAAAGAAACATCATGGAAAAGGTAAATTAATGAGTTGAAAGAAACATCATGGAAAAGGTAAATTAATGAGTTGAAAGAAACATCATGGAAAAGGTAAATTAATGAGTTGAAAGAAACATCATGGAAAAGGTAAATTAATGAGTTGAAAGAAACATCATAAAAAAGGTAAATTAATGAGTTGAAAGAAACATCATGGAAAAGGTAAATTAATGAGTTGACAGAAACATCATGGAAAAGGTAAATTAATGAGTTGAAAGAAACATCATGGAAAAGGTAAATTAATGAGTTGAAAGAAACATCACGGAAAAGGTAAATTAATGAAAGAAACATCATGGAAAAGGTAAATTAATGAAAGAAACATCATGGAAAAGGTAAATTAATGAAAGAAACATCATGGAAAAGGTAAATTAATGAGTTGAAAGAAACATCATGGAAAAGGTAAATTAATGAGTTGAAAGAAACATCATGGAAAAGGTAAATTAATGAAAGAAACATCATGGAAAAGGTAAATTAATGAGAGAAACATCATGGAAAAGGTAAATTAATGAAAGAAACATCATGGAAAAGGTAAATTAATGAGTTGAAAGAAACATCATGGAAAAGGTAAATTAATGAGTTGAAAGAAACATCATGGAAAAGGTAAATTGATGAGTTGAAAGAAACATCATGGAAAAGGTAAATTGATGAGTTGAAAGAAACATCATGGAAGAGGTTAATTAATGAGTTGAAAGAAACATCATGGAAAAGGTAAATTAATGAGTTGAAAGAAACATCATGGAAGAGGTAAATTAATGAGTTGAAAGAAACATCATGGAAAAGGTAAATTAATGAGTTGAAAGAAACATCATAGAAAAGGTAAATTAATGAGTTGAAAGAAACATCATGGAAAAGGTAAATTAATGAGTTGAAAGAAACATCATGGAAGAGGTAAATTAATGAGTTGAAAGAAACATCATGGAAAAGGTAAATTAATGAGTTGAAAGAATCATCATGGAAAAGGTAAATTAATGAGTTGAAAGAAACATCATGGAAAAGGTAAATTAATGAGTTGAAAGAAACATCATGGAAAAGGTAAATTAATGAGTTGAAAGAAACATGTAAAAGGTAAATTAATGACTTGAAAGAAACATCATGGAAAAGTAAATTACAGAGGCATAGCGCCCAGGGACAAACTTTTGATTTTCACACCCCCCCCCCCCCCCCCTCAAACTTTCAATTTGCACCCCCCCCCTCAAACTTTTGATTTGCAGCCCCCCCCCCCCCTCAAATTTTTGATTACCATTTCAAACCCATTTTGGCACCCCCCCTAAGGACGGCGCCCGGGGACATATGTCCCCCCTGCCCCCCCCCCCCCCCCATTGCTACGCCTCTGGTAAATTAAGTTTTGTTAGGTTTATAAGGAGTCAGCATGGTCGGTAAAGCTCATGGCTGCTAAACCGAAAAGTCTTGAGTTCAAACCCTTGTGCAGATGAGACTCTTTAGCTGGGGACAGCCACTCTTCTAGGAGAGACAACACCAAAATCAAACAACTGCTGCCTTGTAGTTTGTTCTTGGTTGGACAAAGGCTATCAAAGCAAATCCAAAAAGAAAAGCAGGCTGAAATATTGGAGTCAATGGCCTCAATGGCGCATAAACCAGTTGACATGTATACTTGTGTTTGAGGCATGGTCGAGTCAGCAAAAAGCTCATGGTTGTTAAATTTGAGCATGGTCGAGTCAGCAAAAAGCTCATGGTTGTTAAATTTGAAAAAGTCTCGAGTTCAAACCCTCTGGCAGATAAGGCTCAATCCCCTCCAACTCTAAAAAATTAAGAACGAAGAAGAAGAAGAAGTTTTATACATTTCATTTTTTTTGTTACTTTAATATATTACTAATATAGTGACTACAGAATATTATTCCTATTATGATAAAAAAAAATTTTTTAATTATATTTTTTCCTTGTCCTAGATAAAACAGCAGGCTGCACAGTGAGTGCAATGTACCAGAAGGTTCCCAGCTGTTAGAATTTATAAAAATAACTTTATTTTACTTTGTTGATAAGCAATGGTATTAAACAATCATAATAACAGTAAATTTAAAACGCATTATAATATAAAGATTTTTAACTCATGCCCTGTTTAGTTGTGTACTAAAGGGTAGCTTGTGGAACAAACTTACTTGAAATGATCAAGATTTAGCTCCAGGGTTTCAAGGACTCTGAAGCATTCATTCCCCAGGGTTGAAAGAGATTTCTTTAATTCAACTTTTTAAAGTGACACAGTGTACTATTGCACCAAGGTTGGGTGTGGGAACATGTATATGTTTTATTACGCAATTATTTTTTAAACCTTTTGCCTCAGTCATATCACAATCACCGAAGTGAATTTAATTTTTTTAACCAAAATAAATGGAATAAATATCAGAATATCCTTATTTCTTTTGTAGTTAGAAATGAAGTAGGCTAAAATAAAATTTCAGATTTTCTCATGTTTTATGCTCATGGCCATGATACAGAATAACATTACCCACACAATTCAATACAGAATAATGTTTACCTACAGATTTCAATAAAGAATAATGTTTACCCATACATTTCATTGCTAACTAAAAGGCCCTTAAACATTATCTTCAGTCAGTGTGATAAGAACATGATGGTTTTTAACATTACACCCTTCCAAAATGGCTGTTTCATTTCACAATGGTTGATGGTAGACATGTTAACATGTTTTAGAAGTATTTGTTAAAGATTTTTAGACCATTATTACAGAGCTCAAATGGCCATGGATAATGAGCCTTACAGTTTTGTTTTTTTTTTTAATAATTTTCATACTAGAAAACAATTGTATTTTTAATCCAGTCCATAAAAATTATTTCTGATTATAATTGTTTTATAATAACAGTTGTAAGCTATGTGTTTTTTTAAGCTGACTTAAGAAGACATGAATGTTTATGCCTGTTTAATTTGCTCGTGCTTGGCTGATGTTAAGGTGCCACATAACCTACATATAACTATGCAGATTTTTATGACATGATTTTATGAAGTTTTACCATTCTCTTGCCAATACGAAGTATTAGTGACATCTTTTTTTAATCTATTTTTTGTTTGTAATCCTCTTTATTAAAGTCTTATCATAAACCTTATTTTTAAATTCCCTCCATACTAATTTTTTTTTTGAACAGATGTATAACTCATAATGAGAAAATTTTTGTTACAGTTGTGACAAATATTCTGAACAGATGTATAACTCATAATGAGAAAAAAATTTTTACTGTTGAGACAAATATTCTTGTCTCAAAATTTTGTTTTATACACTTTAGGTGGAGTATTTTATTATTATTTCAAGTTTTCCAAATATCCAGAATGAGATTTTAGTGTCTTCTTTGTATTAGTCCATCTGTAAATGTTTGTTGTTTACAACTAGTGATTGACACGGACCAAAGAAGCTATTTTTTAAATTTTAACCTGGTGTATATTCTGTTTAGGAATTTATTAAACCATAATATACAAAATGCAAACATTTTCAAATATGATTTTTTTTTAGATTTATAAAACAAAAAGTTTTGCTTTAACTCTCTTTGCTATGGACAGTTTCTCAAGTCCTTATTTAAAAAAAAAAGATTTTATGGTCTTTAAAAAATTAATTTAATATACAAAGGTTATGACACTTTTTTTTACTTTTTCAATAGGTTTTTTCATTTTAAAATAAATTTCTTAATAACAATGTCATGCCTACATAGCTACTGTTCTTTGTTCTATTTTTAAATGTTATCTTATAGTACCTCTACTGATTTGTTGTTTTGTTTTGAGTATAAAAAAAAAGGTCAGTATTGACAAACAACAAATAAGCAGGAACAATAACTCTTGATCTGTATATTAAAATAATTTATCCAGGATGCATATTAAAAATTTCTAAATAGAATTTATGTATGTTTTAGTTTGCCATTCCATTTAAGTACTCTCTAATAATTTTTGAAATTGTTGTAGATCAGTGAATCAAAAGATTTTTAATACTTCAGTTACTAAATTACTAATTTTAGAATCTCATTATCATTTTTTTTTTAAATGTCCTTTAGTTCAATTCTTTGAGAGTTTGCATGAAAGATCTGTTTCATTTTTTTTAATGAAAAGTGTGTTTAGCAGTTGATCTGTTACAATGAGATTAATATTCAAATGCAATAATGTAATAATTTCAATTTGCAGCAAGTTTTTAGCGGCTTGTTTGATTTTACTCATGTTTCAATTCTGCTGCTGTGGTGATATCACTAATATGTTTGCTCTGTTTTACACATTATCTCTGACTCCATTTTGCAAGGGAAGCAATGACTGCGCACTGCAGTGTTAAAGGTGTAGTTGTGTCCCTTGGCATACACAAATGATGTGAACAAACCTTTCTTCTTTCTACTACGCTCCGCTTTGATTTTCTAAATGTGAATGTTCACATGCATATTAATTCAATGTTGAATCTTGAACCAAAGTGTATCACATATCTAATAAAAACAATTATATTACAATATATTTCGAGTTGTTTATCCTTTTTTTAGTGTTGTAAAAGAGTGGTTTATTTTATATAGTACCAGACACCTTGCAATGTTTATTAATTGTTTAGATTAGTTCTTCTATATAATAATATATTAAAATAAATTAGCTGTCGTGTTCAGAATTATATATAAGTAAAGTATCAAAACAAAAGTTTAAAAGACTTATAATTTTTAATTACAGTACATGAATATAACAATTACAGTAGCACGATGAGAATCAAAAGTTCATATTTTATTTTACAGGCTTTAATTTTGTTTGTAAGTTTAAAAATAAAAGTAAGTTGAAAGTTTTTTCCCTTACTTTTATTTTATTTAATATATGGGAGGTAATAATATTGCCTATAGTATAGCGTATTACCATTTACATTCATACTGTTTCAATGACTGTTTTATCCATGTACACAGTGTGCTTAAAGAGGTGGACGCAATGTTTTTCTTTACCTCGAGGTACGACTTTAATTCAGTAACCTTGCTCGTATGTCAAATTGAACGCAATTCTAATAACTTTCCTCTTTGAAATTAATTGAGATACCATTAATCCAGAGCTTTGGCCGCTGAAAAATTCTCTTACATATTAAAGAGAGCAAATTAGTTTTATTTTCAGTGCATTTAATTTAAATCCTTGTTACCATAAACGTTTTTATGTTTTTTCCCCACTTGGTAGGCCTCCTTTCTAAATGACGTCGGCTAAGACTAAACATATTTCATCAACATCCGTGGCCGTTTTTTTGGCGTGAAAGCAACCGTCCGAGGACGCCCCCTAAGGTCGGCGCCCGAGGACATGTGTAACCCCCCCCCCCCTTGCTACGCCTCTGCATCGCTAGTAATTAATCTTGTTATCTCCCTTCGTTTCGAAATCATTTAATTAATTTTTTATGACACATTTAACATCTATATATTTATTTTTTAATATATATATATATATATATATATATATATATATATATATATATATATATATATATATATATATATATATCCTTGCGTTGTCGTCGATAGTTGAAAAGAAATCGCTGTATTAAAAGTGGGTCAAAAAGAGTTACTAGATTGCCACAAGCAGACGTTGTTAACTATAAAAGCTTGTAATCAAGGGACTAAATATCAATGCACATAACTAGACGTAAATTACTGTAAAACTCGCATGAACCGAAGTTGGTCCATGGTCACCAGGTGTTGTGAAACATGAGATAACAATCATCACAGAGGGTGAGCGGTTCTAGACTAATACACTCGTGCACGTGAAGGGCCAGGTGAGCACTTGGACTGAACTCACGACGGATGTGGAGAAATATTTAGATTTATATCTAGGTGGACCTGATAGGGTTAATCAGGTGGATGTTGTAGGGTTAATTAGGTGAATCGTGTCCGGTTAATATGAATGAGCGCTTGTTGTAACATTAGAAGCTACAAAAATTGAGTTTTGAAAAAGCGTTTTCTCTCTATATATGTGTGTGTGTGTGTGTGTGCGCGCGCGCGTGTGCATGTGTGTGCGTGTTTGTGCGTGCGTGTGTGTGTTTGTGTGTGTATATACACATATTAGTGTGTTGTACCCAACCTCGACTTGACCGTGTACCAAAACTTGATCTATCAAAACGTGACTGTACCAAAACTTGACTGTACCAAAAAGTGACTGTACCAAAACTTGACTGTACCAAAACTTGACTGTACCAAAACTTGACTGTACCAAAACTTGACTGTATACCAAAACTTGACTGTACCAAAACTTGACTGTATACCAAAACTTGACTGCACTAAAACTTGACCATGTACCAAAACCTGAATGTTTGTCAAAACTTGACTGTACCAAAACTTAACTGTAGCAAAACTTGACTGTCTACCAAAGCTTGACTACCTGTACAACAAAACACCCAATCCTGCTGAATCAAACTTCAACTTTCGCCACACTTAGAACTGACATAGATAGCTACCTGTCTAGGTCACGACACCAGACGGTAACTTTACCTGTACCATAGTACACACATCTTACCTGACTCTCCAACCCAACGGGTAGTGACACGGGTCACAGAGGTGACCCTTCCCCCCTCCCCACCATACCCAAGGATTTACCAGTGAACTATCCCAGTGTGTTATTCTTATGTCGACACTGCGATGTTTTTATTGGTTATCTTTGTCATGTGATTATAAAACATTTTGCATTTGAGAGTTTGGAAATGTGATGGCACGGAATGTTGAACGCGTTCCTGTGTTGAATTAAATTAAGGGGGACAACCACTGTCAGCGATCTGTTGTTTACAATATGGTGAATAGTGTGTATCGGTTGTCTACCCTTGATCCAGTTTTTGACACATCGTTCGCAAGTCGCCTGCTAAGTGAATAGAGTTATCGTTATTTGATGAATGTCTCCAGTGTGTCGGGGTGGTATCGGCTTATGTGGATAACACAATCAAACACACACATTACAGGGCATACGGTAGTGAATTCATGGATTATAGTGATGGATTAATCATATGGATACTAAATCCTTGAGTCACTTGGCTGAGCTGTTTCGGCGTATAGATCAGGAGGTAAGAAGAACATTTTCTAAGTTGAATTTTTTTACTATAGTAAGAAATCTAGATTCTAGATCTAGATTCCTTTTGCAACTGTTATTTACAATTTACATTTATACGAGCTTAATATTTTCACCATGATACTAACTACGATAGTGGTATGGGCAATCTACAGGCCATTAGAATATATCATAAATTATATGTAGGCCCCTATGTAGGTAATAGAATCTAGTTGGTATTATTATTAAGACATTTTTATGGAAGTGATAAAACACGTATTATCAATAGTGGTGATATAGGCATTAGTTAAATACATTGGTGATACGAAAGTTACGTATAGAGGTGACACTTGCTATAAACACGGTGGGGATATATATTAGTGGCATGTATTGTGGTGACACATGTATTACACATTTTGGTGACGTATGTATTAACAAGGTGACACATGTGTTACTAATTTTGGTGACATGTGTATTGGCCACTCTGGAAACACGTTTAATATTATCATAGTGATTTTTGTTTCTTGATTGTGACATTTCTCTGCTACCATTATATTTGTACTCTCACACGCTACCAAGGTGAGCTATGTGTACTCATCTGGGCTCTAAAGGTGGGGGCTAGTACTCACGACAACACGTGCAGTGTATGAAACATGACGTCAGTACTAATTCTGGGGGTTACACACATTACATTCACACTCACACTCACACACACAATCACACTCACACACACAATCACACTCACACACACAATCACACTCACACACACAATCACTCACTCACACACACACACCCTAATGCACACTCACACACACCCTCATGCACACTCACACACACACACACATACACAAATAGTAAGAATTTATTTCTAGGATGTTTCTTTAACACACACATACGTTAACTCTCTCACACACATATACATTAACTCTCTCACACACATATATTTAACTCACACACACACACATACATTAACTCTCTCTCTCTCACACACAATATCAGAATATTTTACACACTTATACACACTTTCACGTAATAAATCACACGTACATTAGTGTAATCAGAGACATAAACACACAACAATTTTAAAATGTCTATTTTTAAAAAAAACATGTTTATAAATATTTTAAATACAATAATTACAATTAATTAATAATTACAATAAATTAAACACACATTGAGATCATTCAAATATCATGGTGTATAAACACCTTGTGACTTGTGACCATTCAAAGATCATGGTGTTTAGTTAAACACACCTTGAGATCATTCAAAGATCATGGTGTATAAACACCTTGTGACCATTCAAAGATCATGGTGTATAAACACATTGTGACCATTCAAAGATCATGGTGTATAAATACCTTGTGGTCATTCAAAGATCATGGTGTATAGACACCTTGTGACCATTCAAAGATCATGTTGTTTAGTTAAACACACCTTGAGAGATCATTCAAAGATCAAGATACATAAACACCTTGTGACCATACAAAAATCATGATATACAAACACAGAAGTTGAGCATCCAAGAAGTTTGACACCCCATCTGGCAATTAGTTGGCCTACACACCCGACCTAATATCAGCCCATTGCCGTTTGTTATGACATCACGTGGTTGACATGATAACATGAACTTTCATCACGTTTTTAGTGTCATGTGGTGGGGTGGGGGGAGGGGGCAGTGCTAATCATTAACATCAGGGGCGTAGCGAGGGGGGGGCGGGGGGTGCGGACCGCACCGGGTGACACCATTTAGGGGGGGGGGGGTGACACCAAGGCAAAAAATAGCAAAATATATAGAGAAAAACTCGAGGGGGGGGGGGGGCAGATCGAAAGTTTGAGGGGGGGGGGGGGGTGCAAATCGAAAACTTGAGGGGGGGTGCAAATCGAAAGTTTGAGGGGGGGGGTGCAAATCGAAAATTTGAAAGTTTGTCCCTGGGAAGGGTCTATGCCTCTGGGGGGGTGACACCATTAAGTGCCACACCGGGTGACACCCGACCTCGCTACGCCACTGATTAACATACCTCAGATTTTCTTGATTATTATCTTTCTTTTATGGTTCCCTTAAAAACACATTAGGGTACAAATGTTGGTTATGGCACGTAGACAAATCATCCCGTCTTAAACCTAACCATGAGATGTCAATATTAGCAATATGTTGAAGTGATGCATAAATTTGCATTTTATTTTGCTATTATCGCTACATACTTTGGCCCTAACACTAGCCCTGGGCCCTGACCCTAATTTTAACAGCGACATCAACAAAAGGTTAATTCAATCGGTCTATAGATCTAGTAGTTGTCCTACCTGCGTTTTTATAAAAATAGCGACGTTATTTTTATAGTACGCATTAAAAGTAGGCGACGTTATTTTTATAGTACGCATTAAAAGTAGGCGACGTTATTTTTGTAGCACGCATTAAAAGTAGGCGACGTTATCTTTGTGGCACGCATTAAAAGTAGGCT